CACAACTCAAAAGACCGCTGCTGGGGCCAGACCTAGTGAAGGCGAGAGGGGCATCCTGTTTTGGATGCCCCTTCCAGGGAATCCCGAGACGACCGGCGAGGCCACCGCCCCCCTCCGCCAGACCACGCCAAGACGGCTCAAGGAGCTTCGGAGACCGCTCCAAGACGAACCGGGCGGGCGAGAGAGCGGGGCGGGGGAAGGGGGCAGGAGAGAGGCAGAGGAATAGAGATGAGGATTTTTATGTGCGGGCTCAAGGGAGGAAAAACACGGGAACCCAAAAAATGGGTTCCCACCTCCGCCTCTGAAAAAAGCAACTTTTCAGTTGCACGTGATTAATTACGCAGCCAGAAATGAGTGTGGGAAACAAGTATGCCGCAAACCATGCCGCATAATGTTTCAAACGTCACCGAAGCAATTGTGATCCTGACGGTGCTGCTGATGGTGCTGTTGCTGGTGGTGGTGCTGCTGGTGGCGCTGTCGGTGCTGATGGTGCAGCTTGTGATCCTGGCGGCGATGCTGTTGGTGCTGTTGCTGATGGCGGTGCTGCAGCTGGTGCGTCTGGCGCTGACGGCGCTGCTCATGTTACAAGGCAGACAGAAGCAGCGACAGAGCGCAGGAACGGCACGCCAGCTGCGGCGTACAGAAACCAGCAGAGCCCCCCTGCAAGAATGAGGGCATCCAAAAAATGGATGCCCTTGTAGCCACATAAAAACACAGAGAGCGAGAGAGAGAGAGAGAAAGAGCTGCTGCTGCTTCTGCTGGTGCCTCCCGTTGCCGCTAGCGCTCAGGCCTCCGCAGGGTGCTCAGACCCCCTCAAAGTTCTCCGCGGTAGTCTTCTACCCATGGCTTTCGAGTACGCCTTCGTGCCGCGCGCCATGCCTGGCCACGTTGGCCACGTCTTGCCGCCAGACGCGGCGTGGCGCAGGGTGGGGCGCACGCAGGCTCAGCGCTTGGCTGCTGGGGAGGACTTGAGGGCGGGGGGTAACTAAGTTTTTGGAGGGCCCCTCTCCCGCCACCGACCATCTCCTGATTTCGGCAATGAGGAAGCACCTTTGCTTTTGCCCCAGGATCGGTTCAACGTGTGCGTGTGGCCCGCGAACATTGAAGTGCGGGACAGCGGCAACCAGTTCTTTGCTCCCGGCTTCCACGGCAATTTGTGGGAGTCGAACGATCCCGCGTTCGATTATGTGATCGTCCGCCCGTACATGTACGCCGAGGTTGTGGCCACTTGCATCGGCCACGACGATCGCGCGCTCGCCTCGCCAGCCGCGATCGCGAGATCTTTCCCCGTCTGCGATCTGCCACATCGGTCAGGCGCGGTCAGTTGCAGATCGACGATGCTCGTTGCGATCGGCCCGATCGATCTGCAGCGGATAGTGGCTGGCACGTCTGCGATGCGCGATGTCGCCCTGCGGTGGGTACTGAGGACCGCACGTGCATTGTGACGTTCACGTGCCGCGATTTCCCAGGATGGACCCATGCGGCGGAGGTGCCGTGGTCGACAACCTGGGGGTTCATGGAGAGGATGGTGATGGCGTCGCTCTCGTTGCCCCGCCACCGCGATGTGCTGTTCGATGCCGACGGCGACCAGCCCTCCAACCGAATGCACGTGGGCCCGTCGTTCGGCCTGCGCGCGTCGGCGCGCCGCCGTCTCTGAGGCGCGGGCGGGGTGTGAGGGCATGGCGTTTGCCCCGCACATTTATATATTGGTTATGTGATGAAAGTTTGAAGCGCACCTGCTCGGAGTTCGGCATGAAAAGCTGTGGTTTTGAAGCGATTGTGAATCCATTTCTTCTGGCGGCCAGGCGTTTCCCACTCTTTTCGCCCTGCTTGCGATCGCCCCGAATGCCGCCCCCCTTCCCCCTCTCGCTTTCCCCCCCGCCAGTAATGCCGCGCACGTTTAGGCTCAAACATCAGTCGCCTCGCTCGCTCGCCACCTCGCGCACCTCCGCGCCGTCCGCGATGCCGAGGGCATTTCCGATGGAGGCCGCCAACCTGCCCGCCTGCGGCATGAAGTCTTTCGGGGTGTCCATGGGAAAAGAGGGGCACACCAACGACGTGATGGTGGCAGCCTGGGACAAGGCGAAGACCATGCCCGTTCTCGAGGTCCTTGCGAAGCCCGACGTTGTGGGGAACGTTGACAAGGCTGGTACTGCCGTCGTCTGGGACCTCCCCATCAAGCAGTGGCGCTATTCCGCGCGGCGCCCCATCAAGGGCTTCATCGACGTCATCGCGAATTGCGGCGACCTCTCGGGCGTCAACTGGGATGTTGTCAAAGAGGCCATGGCCGAGGGTCGGTACAACGCCTTGCCCCCGCCATTGGGAATTTCCGATGCTGGCCAGAACGAGATCCCCTGCGTGATGAGCATGCACGTGTCCAAGTCCATGCCTGACGACGGCTACTTGGTGGTGAAGGTGTTCACGTTCCTCGGCGGCGGAGAGCCGATGGCGGCAATCCTCGAGAAGATCGTCGAGGGCGACCCGTGCGTCTTGGACTACCGCCCCGACACCTTCAACACTGTGCGGACGATGCAGGTGGTATTGGAGGCGATGGGTGGGTTGTTGTTCCGCTATTGGGGGCTGCCGAAGCCTAAGGCAGTTGCGGACATCGACGCTGGCGAGGTCGCGGAGAAGAAGGCCGCCCTCGACAGAGCGTGGGATTTCGTGCAGGCGGAGGCCCCCGCGGAAATTTCGACGGCCAGAGGGTCCTGTGGTTGGAGCACCAGTACGTGGACCCTGACTCCCCCATCTACAACATGAAGCGGGAGTTCGTGAACAGCTTGATGAAGTGCATCGCGGACCGCGACCATTTCGCGACCAAGGAGGACTACTACCCGCTCCTGAAGCCAGACATCCGCAAGGAGTACCAGCCGATGACGAACAGGATCTTGAAGACGCTGGTGGGGAACACGCTGCTTACGATCGGGGAGGCTGGCTTCGGGAAGACACCCTTCATGCACATCTGTGCCATGGCGACTGCGAGGCACAATGCAGACGTCGCTAATGAACGCCACCCAGGTCGTGCCAAGGCTGCTGTTCGGGTATCCGCAGAGATGGACTTCTTCCGCGGGGAGGTCGGGGAGCCCTGGGCGCCCTGCATCTTCGATGACGGCGACCTCGCAGATCAGCGGCCTCGCGTCCTCAAGGCCTTCTTTGACCCCACGCAGGCTGAGGCCATGACCTACGTGCGCTGGGGGGCCGCGAAGTTCGTGCGCGGCCAAGCGAGGCGGCTGGCGAAGTCGAAGCGTCGGGGCCAGCCAGGTTTCTCGAGTTTGGCTGTCAGATGTTGTTGGCTTTTTCCCAGGGAAGCGAATCCTGCGCGTCGGTCGGCCCCGCGCTTCGTCTTTGCCCAGGTTTGGCGGTGACAACGAATACAATGCCAGCGCTGAACCAAATGGCGAGGAGTGGGGGCTCGCGGCGACGTCGCCCGATGCTGCAAAGCGGACCACTGCCATCTTGGTGGACATGATTCGGCCCGCCTTCCCTAAGGGTACGTCCGAGAGCAACTTAGGGGCCATGCTCAAGCGGTGCAACGTCGCCCTGAACACGCAGCACTCGTTCTTCTTCAGGCCCGCTGGCAAGGACTCGGTCGTTGAGAAGTTGCCCCTCATGAGCAGCTACATCACGGCCGAGGCGGGCAAGATCTTGATGCGGTTCCTCAGGCACAAGAAGCGCCGCGACCAGGAGGAGTACGACAGGCTCCTCGCCTTTGAGAAGAAGGAGGTGCTCCAGCTCATGGCCGAGTCGCGCGCAGCAGCGGGCGCGGGCGACGGTGGCGGGAACGGCGCCGATGGCGCCGCCGCCGCGAGCAGCGCCCCAGCCGGTGCCGCGGCGCCGCGGGAGGCAGGCGTGGCGGGCGGCGTGGAGACCGCGCCCAACGACGGCGGGATGTCCGACCGCGGCGGCGGCGGCGCCGACGCGCGGGCCGTCTCCGCGGACGAGGAGGACGTGTTCGGCTTCGGCGGCGGCATGGGGGAGCCCGAGCCGACGCCCCCCAGACAGCTGACGGCCGCGCGGGACGTCCGCGTGAAGGAGATCATCAACGCCGAGGCCGACACGCTCATGATGGCGCCGTGGCAGGCGGGTGCTGCTCCTGGATCGAGCGGCGACGGGGGGGCGCCGAGTGGCGCGGCTGCGCCCGCGGACCCCGCGCCCGCCAAGCAGCCCCCGATCGTCGGCTGCCACGGTGCGCTCTCGGATGAGGACCATCGGGAGCAGGTGGCGATCTTTCGCAGCCTAGCCAAGGCCCACCACGGCGCGCACGAGAACCTGGTAACTCCGCCGCGGAAGACCAGGAAGACGGGTCTGGCCTGCGGCGGGCCGCTCTCCCCCGTGGACATCCAGGAGCAGCAGGCGATTTTCGCATCCATTGTGGCGCAGGCACACGGCGAGACCCTCGTGGTGGACGACGATGGCGTCGACTACTTGGATGCCGGAATGGAGACGCTCCTCGATGACATCGAGGCGGAGCGCGTTGGCGGCGCGAGCCAGCTTCCGGGTGACCAGACAGACTGATCCAGCGGTAGCTGGCCTGGCAAGTGACGCGGGAACGCACAGGCGAAAGGTGCGCGGCGACGCATGTTGTTTATGACGGCTGGAGCGAGCTGATATGAATGCATTGATGTATATGCTTGTTCGCTTTCCAGATGTAGATGCCTTCCGCGTTGCGATATGTTGGGCGAGTGACATAGGAATGCCCATGCGAAATGTGCGCGGATACGCATATTGTTTACGACGGTTGTGAACTGTGCGAAACAGCATCATCCTCAGCGGGTTCTGTGGGCGATCGCACGTGTAGTCTTCAACCTGCCGTCTTCCACTGCCACCACTCGGTCGATTCGAACCCTGTCGTTCTTGGCTCAAGTGTGAGAAAGCCACCGAGCCCGCCCGCCAGCCCCGTCGGCAGCCAGGCGGCCGCCACCCCGCGCGCGTCGCCCATGGGTAAGCCATGGCCAGTCGCCAAGCGCGGAAAGGCTCGCATGGCCATGCGGCCCGTGCCCATGAAGAAGGTGAAGAAGAGCTCACTCCTGCGCAAACCGAAGAACGTCCCATACACGCGCCACGGGTCTTCCTCGGTCAGGTCGCGCCTCGACAGGGCAGCATGGGCTCGGTGCTTGAAGGACTTCGTGAACGCGACGACCAAGCAGGTGATCGACCGCTTGAAGAAGGACAAGGTCTTGCCTGAGTGGAAGGGCGCGAAGTGCCCCTACTGCCAGATCGGCAAGCTGGGCCCCTTGAAGGACCATGGCAAGAAGAAGGGCGGGTGGACCCACAAATGCTCGAGCGACTGCTGCCGACGCTTCCTCATGCCGCACGCCTTCCACCCTATCTTCAAATGCGGCACGGGGTCGTCGGGGGGGCGCTTGGCGGACCAGGCCGCCGTGCTGTTCTGCGCCGTGGCCCAGTGCTCGCAGACGTCCGCCCGCCTCTTGTTGAAGAACAACCACAAGATGACAGAGGGCATTTACTCTGCGCTGTATGCAGCCCGCGCCAAGTACGTCAACTCCCACGAGAGGAACATCTCCTTTGGCCATGACCAGGACGGCAACGCGCTCGAGTGGGCGGACGTGGAGGCGGACGAGGTCGACGTGGCGAAGGGCGAGGACCCGAACGCTGGCCCCCGCACGCAGAAGCCCATCATCTGGGAGCAGTGGGGCGGCATCGTGCAGCGGGGGCACCCCAGGTCCTTGGTCCTCTTCAGGTTGAAGCCAGAGAAGGCCAAGCGTAGGGCGCCTGGCCCTGGCCCGATTCGGAAGAGGGATTGGGCGCCCATGGCGTCCAAGTGGCTAAAGCACCGCCGCGTCATCCTCCACGCGGACGGGGCGAGGTCCTACAAGATGAAAGTCGATGGCGTCTTGCACGACTGGGTCGTGCACAAGAAGAAAAGGGTGCGGGTTGGCGGGAAGTGGGTGTGGCTGAAGCCGGCATTCACGAAGATCCGCTACCGCGACGTCCCTGACCAGAGCAAGCCCAGCGGGACGAAGCGCTTGTGGGTGAAGTGCGGCACCCAGGTGATCGACCGCGCGTGGGGCGACCTGCGCAAGGCGGTCGGCAAGGGCATTGCGAAGACGGTGGGGTCTGTCCTTCTCCGCAACAAGGCAGGCCAGATGAACGACGTGCAACGCGTTTGTTTGCGTAGGCGCTGTCTCCTCAATCTTCAGTGCAGCTGAACGCCGCCCAGGGGGGTGGGAGGTGTTGCCCGGCGCGGGAAAGGTTGGCGGGTGGCATGCGCTGAGGTTTGGAGAGGCGGCCCAGCGCGACATGCGCAGTTGCTGCTCGCTCTCTGGCCTATGCAAGGTGCGCTCCTTCCAGTGGACGTACTGGAACCGCGGCAGCGATCTCTGGCTCGCTACTGGCCAGATGCTCCGCGACGCGTGGGCCAAGGACCACGCTCAGTGAGCTCTCTCGCTGACGCAGCCGAGCCCGCTTGGAGATCGGCGCGCAGGAGCAGCCAGGTGGCCAGGCGGAGTGATCTAGTGGCGACAGGCTTGGCGTTCGGAGTGATAGTGGCCAGGCGTACGGCGCGCGTTTGCGCTTGTTGTCTATTTCGCTTGGGCCGAGTTAGTTCTTGAGACCAGAGGTGTGTTCACATTGCCCCTCTTCATATAGATGCCACCCGCGTTGCGATATGTCGGGCGAATGATATGGCAATGCCCAGGCGAAATGTGCGCGGATCCGCATATTGTTTGCGATCGTAGTGAAGTGAGCTGAACATCATCATCTTCAGCTGCGCGCGGGCGCTATCGCGCGCTTCGCCAGCGCGCACTTGCGCGCAGGAAGAGGAAGAACAGACGGAGGAGGAGTGAGAGGAGGAGGAGAAGGAGAAGGAGGAGGAGGAGGAGGAGGAGGGAGGAGGAGGAGGAGAAGGAATTCTATTGGAAAGCCTCACAAAAGGAATCCTTTGGAAAGCATCACAAAGGGATTCTATTGGAAAGCCTCACAAAAGGAATCCTTCGGAAAGCATCACAAGGGAATTCTATTGGAAAGCCTCACAAAAGGAATCCTCTGGAAAGCGCCACAAAGGGATTCTATTGGAAAGCCGCACAAAGAAATTCTATTGCAAAGCACCACTGCCCACCAAACCATGCTATTCACATGTTTTTTTGGTTTTTTTGGTCAGGGAAGCCACGAAACCTTGCTATTCACATGTTTTTTTTGTTTTTTTTGGTTTTCAGAAGCTCCACAAGCTTGGCCAGAAGGGGACCGCGGGGGCTTGCGGAGCCTCTGAAAACCAAAAAACAAAAAAACATGTGAATAGCAGCGTTTGGTGGCTTCCTAGACCGAAAAAACAAAAAAAACATGTGAATAGCAGCGTTTGGTGGGATCGTGGCCACCAAACGCTGCTATTCACATGTTTTTTTTGGTTTTCAGCCGTCCATAAGACCTCCTGGCCTAGTTTGTGGAGCTTCTGAAAACCAAAAAAACCAAAAAACCTGTGAATAGCAAGGTTTCGTGGCTTCCCTGACCAAAAAAACAAAAAAAACCTGTGAATAGCATGGCTTCCTCCTCATCCTAATCCTCAACCTCCTGGTCCTCCTCCTCCTCCTCCTCATCCTCTTCCTCTTCGTTTTCATATTTGGAGGAGGAAAGGAGTAGGATGAGGAGGAGGAGGAGGAGGAGGAGGAGGAGGAGGAGGAGGAGCAACGGAAAGAGAGCGATGGGTGCACACGGGGTGCTGGGGGGGGGCTGACCATATATATATATATATATATATTATATATGGTCCCAGGAGGGGAGAACACACACACACACAAAAAAAAAAAACGCTGGGTGGAGAGCAAGCAGCCACCAGACTCGTCTCCAGCAGCCGCGCCTGCGACCACGCGCCGAGCCTCCCGTGGCAGAGGCTGACGTTGGCGAAGAGCTTGGACGCCTCGTCGTCGCACGTCAGCGCTGCCTGCAACGCTGGCCCTCCAGGCAGTCGCCCTCCCCTCGCCGAGCGCGTTCCACGACTCGCAAAGTACCTGTTCGCAACCGTCCGAAAAACACCTGTCTGCTTTGGTAATTCATCGCAGACCCCCCGCGGGGGATCCAGGCCATTTGCGAGTAGTGCAACGCGCTCGTCGACTCCCCGTTCCCCGCCTCGTCCCTCCCCCTTCTTGAATCGCCACCCACGCGCCGACACCACTGCCGGCCAGGCCCGCGCTGGGTCGGAGACAGGTCCAGAGATGCTCCCGACAAGGCCACGAGAGCCTGCACGTACTGATGGTCTGCGGCCGATGTGGAATGTTGCAAAATAACACCATGCAACTATCAGCATCCGCAGCATCGCCGTCATCAACATCTTAATAAGCATCAGCATCAGCATCAGCATCAGCATCAGCATCATCAGCATTATTACCAGCGGCATCATCATCAGCATCAGCATTAGCAGCAGCATTATCGTTATCATCACCATCATCATCATCACCACTATCACCACCAGAATTCGTCATTCGCATCATCGTCAGCATCATGATCAGCATATTACCGTCATCACACTCAATCATCGTCATCATCATGCTCTGAATGATCATCAACAGCAGCAGCATCATCAGCAGCAGCATCACCATCGTCATCAACCTCAACAGCATCAACGCCAGTATTACCATCAACAACATCATCATCAGCATCAGCATTAGCATCATCACCATCATGATCATCGGCATCGTCATCACCATCGCCACCGCCAACAATACGCGCCGTTATCGTTATTGGCGACATCTCATCGTCCTCAGCAGCATCAGCGTCAGCATCAGCATCGGCGTCAGCAGCATCATCATCATCAGCATCATCAACATCATCATCAGCATCATAAGTATTACCATTATTATCATCAGCAGCAGCATCAGCATCATCACCATCACCATCACCACCGTCACCATCACCATGACCATCGCTAGCACCATCCTCAACATCCTCATCGTCATCCATCATCCTCATTCTCGCCATTACCATCAACAACAGCATCGCCGTCGTTGTCGACGTCATCATCATCGTCGTCATCACCATCGCCATCACCATCACCACCATCATATTCACATGCACCACCATCACCGCCGTCATCGTACTAATAACCGTCACCACCATCATCACCATCAACGTGTCCCCACCGCCGTCATCACTACAGTGATATAGAATGCAGCGGCCGTGCGCAGCCCTGCCTGGCCAATATGGGCCCCCTGGGGTTCCGAACGGCAGAAGCGCGCGCCGCCCTTTCTGTGCTTTTGGCCCCGGCACTTCACGATAGAAGGCTCCTTGAACCAATGCCGACTGGTGGATCGGACACACGCTAACAATGATTAGGGATCCGTGCATCTGGCACGTGGGCGCCGGGTCCCCGGATCGGGGCGAAGCTTGAGACCAGTGCCGCCTGACGCGCCGATTCTGCAGGGCAACGGGACCAAGCGCTAATCCGTGCGCCATAATCCGTACTCCAGATTTCGTAATAAAGGGAGGGGGGTCTCATTTCGGGGGGGGGGTCTCTTCCAGGCTATCTTGGAGGGCCTGGGGGGTCTGGGGACGATGTTTTGGAGGGTTCTCCCACGAGGGGGGGTCTGCAATGGCTTGTCTTGGAGGGTCCAGACCCCCTCCCTTTTACTACGAAATCTGGAGTAGTTCTCTACCCTGGAGTGGAGCAAGCGGAAGCGGGAGGCCAGCCTCGGCGGCCCCCTCCCCCCCGTGGCCAAGCATGGATCCTCGGTCAGCCACGCCCCGGCCCCCGCCCGCCGCTGCTGCCTGCGCCATGGCCCCCCAAAGCACGCGGAAGTACCTGGGGCGGAGCGCGCGTAAGCCCAGGACCCTCACCACGCATGAAGCCAGGGATGGAGAGGCCTCTAAGTTTCCACCTTTGCCCCCTTCCACACCCTCGTCGTTTGCCACAACCTCCCCAAAATCATCCCCCCTCCTCCTCCACCCCTTTTCCGCGTAAATAACTCATCCCTGTCGCACCCCACCCAAGAGGCCCCCAAGAGCCCCCCAAGAGGCCCTGGGGGCCCCCAAGACGCCGCCAAGGGATTCCCAAAAGGTCCCCAAGAGGCCCCCAAGAGGCCCTAAAGAGGGCTCCAGGGCCGGCGGCATGAGCGAAGCGATTGAATAACTCACCCCTGTCGCACCCCATGACATGTCGGTAGGGCGGGCCGGGCATGTCGCTTGAGACTTCCACACCATTCACGATCTTTACGCTGGAAATGTGTAACAGTTTCACGAATGGAGGGCGGGCGACGCTCAAAATGTGGTTCTCGCCTTAGCGCCGTGCACATTCGTCTCAAGAGCTTGCAAGAATTTCACAGATGGAGCGCGGTACCGTTTCAAAATGCGGTTCTCGCCTCAGCGCCGCGCACCTTCACCTTGAACGTCTGCAAGAGTTTCACGGATGAAGCGCGGTACTTTTTCAAAATTCTGCTCTCGCCTTCACGCCGCGCAAATTAATCTTAAGAGCCTACAACAGTTTCAAAGACTCTGACGGCTGACGTGCCAGAAGTGGTGTTCTGGCACGATGTAAGACTATAACTACACAAGGATTACGTTTATTCGTGCTGTTGAAGTCCCAGGAATGATGTCCTGGCAAGCCTCAGGATCGTCAGGACGCAACAGTGACGTTGGCTCGCGACATTGAAGTCTCAGGAATCAAGTTCTGGCACGAGCCAAAATGTTCAAAAGGTGGTCTTCCAACGGGGCACTTCCCTCAGTGGAAATAAGCCCTTGTAGGGACCCGTGAAGAGCGAACTTGGAGGGAGGGTCGATTGCAGCATCATTGATGAGTCTTGGGTCTACTGTCCTCCTCCTCCTCCTCCTCCTCCTCCTTCTCCAACACTGGCCAGGACTTACCCACAACTGCTGTAGCGCCCAAGGCGCGCACAGAAACGCAGAAAACGCGCGTGCACACTGCAATAGCTTATCCTGGCGACAGACCCCAACCATATGCAGGCATCAGCACCGCAGGGCCGGCAGGACAAAGAGGGGTAGGGAAATGAGGGGAAGGCCGAGGGATGGGTAGAAAAGAAAGGAGGAGAAGAGAGGAGGCAAGCGCAGCAATGAAGAGGAGTCTGGAGGGAGAGGAGGAGAGACATACCCCCCGGCGGCGCGCCGCCCGAGGCCACTCGAGGCGGCCTCGCGGCGCCGCCTGGCCGCCCCGACCCCCCCCCCTCGAGGATCCGCCGACCCCTTGGGGTTCATCGGCGTGTGAGATGCCCCCCTCCCAAAAACCCCTCCCCCGGGAGTCTGGTCTGGTCGATTTGGAGGTGGGGGGGAGGACCCCGGGGATGCCCCGAACGCATCATGGGGACAGAAGGCCCCAAAGCAAGCGAAGAGGGCCCCAAGAGGCCGTCTGGACGGTCCAAGAGGGCCACGAGCCGCTCAAAGATCGATCCAGAAAGTGCAAGCTGGCCTCCACAGGACCCAGGAGGCCCCCAAGACGCCCCAAGAATCACCGAAGAGGCGTCGCAAGACGGCCTCAAAAGCAACAATCGCCCAATCACTTGGGAAAACGTGCATGTTTTGCACACTCGCCTCTTGTGCGTCGACAACGTCCAAGGCGGCCCAAGAAGCCTTCCAGATCGCCCTGGGAAGGACCAAGAACCCACCAACAGGGCTCCCAGACGACCCAAGAGGGCCCCAAGACCGCTCAAGAAGCCCCCAAGACGGCCCAAGGAGGCTCCAGGACAGCCCCAGGAGGGGGCCCAGAAGGAGAACCCGAGCGGACAGTTCGAGCCTGGGACCCCCAAGCGCCCCCAGTTGCCCCAACACGCCCCCAACGGGCCACCCAGGAGCTCCTACTGACCATAGAGGCCCCCCCAAAAAACCCAGGAGGTGGGTGCCTCCCGCGAGGCCCTATCTGCCATCCGAATGGCCTCAGACCCGCAGCCCCAGCACTCTGGCGGGATGTGCCGAGGGCCCTTCGATAAACATGCCTGTGGTGTTTTGACATACGCCCGCCGATCTGAACCGTGCGCTCTCGCCCGTTCCCCTATGTTTGCGCGGCGACCGCTGAACATGTCAGCCGCCTCAATCACTGCTGCTGGTGCGGGCGGTGCCGCGCTTGCCGGGCCCCCGGGGGACCTTGTCGCGCGTACATGGCAGACTGTCAAAGAGGGCCCCGACACGCCTCACATCTCGCTCGAAGACGCCCACGACGGCTCCAAAACGTATTTTGACAGATGCACGCCATCTGTAGACGTGGGTTCTCGCCCGTTTCCCCATGCGCGCACGGCGAACACTGAAATCGAGGTCCCAAGAGAACTTCAATTACCGCCTCCTGACCCTCGAAAGGTCCCCCTCGACCACATCATTGACAGCCCTCGCCAACCCTTTCCCACATCTCTGCACACTGTTTTCCGACGTGGAGCGGGGGGGGGGCCTGGGACCCCCCCGAACGCATCATGTGGGGACACAGGGCGCCAAAACAGGTCGAGTTTGCCCCAAGAGACCTCCAAATGCTCCACGAGAGCCACGAATCGCCGAAAGATCGTTCCGAGACGCTAACGATGGCCTCGAGACGGCCCCAGCGGCCCCCAAGACGC